CTTTATAACCTGTAATAAATACAAAGAATCTTTTCAGTGAGCAGACTTTTGAGTAAGAATAGCTTTAAAAGACTATATTAAAGGTGGCAACTTTAAAGAAAGCCAAACAAGGTATGCTTAACATATTAATAGCTTATTAATTCAAGAATCTAACGTTAAGCATCCTGAGTTTTAGAGATAAAACATTGAATTTTTCCCTTTAACTTTCTATGTAATATTTTTTAAAAAGAAAGTATCATTAACATTGTACTTGTATCCTAGACTATCAACATTTAAGTTTCCTGGTAAGCCCTGTTTTGTTCTCAAAGGCTTTTGACTATCTATAGTATTACTAAACCTGAATTGCACAATCTGTAAATATTGTGAAATAGTGAAAGAGATTTCAAATTAGGTTATAAGTAAAGAGAATTTCATATGACAATTTTGTTTAAAATGGCCTCCATCCTTATACTGGACTGTCAAGAGAGAAAAATTATGTTATTACTACTCTCGATAAGCTACTCTAAGCACAATATTCTACCTCATTTAGAGAAACTATAAGGTTTTCACTTTATTATAAATATGCAAATTTATTAGATGTGTGATTATACATATTCCTCTGAAGTAATTCCTCAACCAATGAATGACTGAAAACTTTGAAAATGAAAATTATAACACTTGGGCAAATAAAGACCTTCTCTCCTGGGAAATGAGTTCTTAAATCCTATTCCTGAAAAAGAGGAATAAAAAAAAAAGTGTGTCTCACACAATCATAATTTAAATGAATAACATGGCATTTTATTTTAAATAAATGATACTAAAGTGATTCAAAATTATAATTAGGTCAATGACAACACACGCCCTCTAATATATTTTAACACATTAATTTAATTAGCACTCTTTTTTTTTCATTTCTAACCTGTAACTTTAAAAGGCCTAGAGTTGGAGAACTGGTGTTTCAGGCACAGCCACATGCTGCTAATATTTTCCCTCAGTTGTCTCCTACCTTCTCTCACACAGTAAACAAGCCATCCTGGAATCAGATCCAGCATCATCAAACATATGTAATTAAAGAAGCTACATGTGTACTTTTAGATTTGCATTGTTTAACAAATCCAAGTGACATTTTGTGTTAGTTCCAAAATAAGTTCAGCCACTAGATAAAGAAAATAAAAACTAAAAATCCTGTCTCAAACTGAATAACGAGTTTTAACAAAATTATCTTTCTATACAATTCTCTTTTATGGTTCACAATCAGGAGCGAGGAATTACAGAACCACACAGTTAGACTAAAAACTAATTACAATGTTTCTGAATGACTATTATAAATACAGGTCAAAATTTTAAGGACTCATTCAGAGACATCTGTAATTCTGAAATGTATTATCCAGTGTTGTTTTTACTAAGTGTACCATCCATGGGACTTTGCAAATCTTTTAAGTTCTTTGTCACAAGACTGAAATGTGCATTTGCTGGTCTGTAATTGGCAATTTGGAGAACAGGCAAAACAGTGAAGCATGGTTCCCTGTTGGTTCATCCAAGGTCAAGGAAAAGAATCATATTCCCAACCTCCCCAATATAATTTTAAGTTCGTGATCCTACTTGTTGTCCCAGTCAAGTTCAAACTGTGAATTTCTTATGAACATATCTTTTGATGTCCTCTGGGTATTTTAGGACGAAAAAATTTAAGTCACAGGTGCAAAATGAATAATCAATTACTAGGTTTTTGATCTTAATGTTTGTGTCTGCATAAATTTACAAGAATTGAAGTGTTTAATTCTTAAAATTTTATTGAAGCCTTCTATTTATAAAAGTCTCTTTGGGCTCTATCAGATATCTGAGTAAGACAAAGCTATGTCCTCAACGAGCTGATGAAACAAATATACAAAAACTATACTACAAAACATGGTGCAGGTGCCATAAAGAAAGTTTAGGAAAGTATCATGAACCTTTAGAGAAGAGAGATCACTATCTGTTTTGGGTCAGAGAAAACAATTTGAACCAAGTCATGGGGAAACGGGAGATGAGCAAGGAACATGTTCGGCAAACAATGAAAGATACAGCTTGGCTAGTGCCCAGTGCATGGGGAGGAAGTGGGACTCCAAGATAGACAGGAGTCACGCTGCCTGGAAAGGGCTTTGTAAAGTCAGGCTGAGGACATGCAATTAAAGCCACTGTGTGTGGCTGTACTACAAACAAGACTGTGCCCTTTGGGGATGTAAAAGTAACTAATAAAATAATTTACGTTGAAAGCATAGAAAGAGAACATGTTACCAAAGCCTACAATAATCCAGAAAAGGGAGGAAGGAGGGTCTGAACCAGGTGGCTCCCAGACATCAGTGGAAGTGGAAAGGTGATGTTGTACTTAGTACTTACAATGTACTGGACTTGGTAATAGATTTGACATTTGGATCAATGAAAAGGGGGAAAAGGGAGTCAAGACAGTGTCACACTTCTTAATCTGGATAACCAGAAGAAACTAAGTACCAAACTGCCCTAATAAAAATAGGGAAGTCATAAGGAGGAACTGAGCTTTTTGTATTGTTTAGTTCAGGGGAAGGAAGGTGCAAATAAGATACTTGTCTGGACATGTTACATTTGAGGAATCCGTTGCAAACATGTGACACACATTTAGAAACATCACTAGGGTACTGAGGAGGGCTCCATCCTGAGATTTCAGTCCTCTCCACAGACAGGATAGTTCAAACAGTGTGAGTAAACAAGACAAAAATGAAAGTACACTGGAGACAGAATCTTGGAGAATGACCACATTTAGAGAATGGGAAAAAGAAGACCACTGAATAAAATTAACTACTGGTTTGAGGTAAGACAAGAAAATCTCGTAAGAGTTAGAATGTCTGATAAGAGTTTCAAAAGGGAGTAGCTATCTTTACAGTGTCACTGAAAAGGACCCAAGAAAGGTTAAGTGTTGAGAAAAATAAAAATCCACTGAGATGCGGCACCAAGGAGTTCTGTGCTTTTTTTTTTTTTTAGAAGTCAGAGAGTAAGAATTCGGAAAAGGAGATGGTAACAGAGAGGAGTCACTGACTTTAGAAGTCTTTTAAAATAGAGGAGAGTGTATTTCTCTATCTCATTTCCAAGGCAAAGAAACACAGTCAAACTCAAATGTAAATCCAGTAGAGGAAACCCACTGGAGGGGAAGGGGAGGAAAAAGTTCAAATAAGGGACTTTATTCTATTTGATGATTTCCATGGTGTAAATACTATCACCATGGTTGATTCCAAGCTGCCAAAGACTGGCAAAATTCCTGAAAATTTAGCAATAACTCCAGACCACCACTGCAAAATACCTATTCTATTCTTCTCTGCAACTGAACAATTCCATGATAGCTTTTCTCTGAACTCAACTGATACGAAATCATTTTCTGGAACAACTTTGCAGCAATTCACAGAAGTCTACCCAACTCCTGTTACATTTAACTTTCTCAACTATATTGTAACTGAAAGGGGTCAGATGTTAAAAGCCAAAAGGCTCCTAGGCTTGCCTGTCTTTACTAAGGAAGTCACAAAGGAAATGACAAGAATCATATGCTCCAAAATACCTTCAGATAACCATCTTATAATTGTTTTCTTTGTTAATGTCATCTCCCCATCTAAACCTGAAATGTCTTAAGGATAGAGAACTTGATTCAAGACTTCAGTTTTCCCAAAATCCACTTGGCTCTTGGGACAGTTCTACTGTTGATTAACCAAATTTTAAAAAATTTAAAAGTGAGCTCTGTATCAATGCAAGGATTAAACAATGAAGTGTCAGTAGAATAAGCAAAAGAAACAAGAACCAAACATCCTACTAGGTCCAAACCCAGTGAGAGGCAGCAGAGATATGGGGAAAGCTCCTGAGACGACATCCAGACACCTAGAGGGCTCCAATCCATCCCTG